ACTTTTGCAAATTGCATTTTACCATTATGAATTTTATTGGCCTTTTTTATTTGCATTTGGATGGTATGTTACAGTAAGGGTAAAAAAAAAATCGTTATATGTGATTAATCATTAATATCAATTAGCAATAACAATTTTATTTCATTTCTTTTTAAATTGAAATAATTTTTTTGCATAACAAAATTTGTCACAAAGTTGTCGCATATTTCGACAATAAGCCATTTTTGAATATCTTTTTTTAATATTGCAATAAATTTTTGAATGAAAATATTGATCACTGGAAAAATTTTTTAATTCTAATAATTATTCTGATAAAGATTATGATTCTGATATAATTCTGATAAAAATTAGAAATTATTATATGATATTATTAGATTCATATATTATTAGTGCTTTTTAAGAATTATTCATTTTAAGAAATTATTTTTTCATCTTATTTGATATCTTTCTCCTCTTTTTTCTCCTTATCTCTTCTATTCATTGATTTTTTTAATGATAGAAATTTATTCTCCCAAAAAGATGAGTAGATTTCATGAATTGATTGATCATACCATTTGTAGTATTTTCAACAATACATGAAATTTGACAACTAGGCCAATACTTTTACAACTGTCATTTGTTAAGGTTAAAATTGGTTTCGTCTGAAGCTTTTGAAAATTAAAATGATTGCGGAAAATTTTTGCCAACTGTCAAACGCTTTCAACAGTTGCCACTTCCTGGTTCGGAATTATTACAATTAATTTTGAAATTCTCTCTTTCCTGTATTTCTTCTGTTAGTTTTGTAAGATAATCAAAATTTGTTCCAATTGATTAAATGAAAAATTTTAATCTGAAACTAAACCAAAATTAATTTTATTTCATGGGTAACATTTATAATGATCAATTCACAAAATTGAAATATCAAAGCTAAACTAAGTGATAATTCCGTTTAATCATTAATGAGTAATTTTTGGGTTAATTAATTAAATTTAATGGAACAAGAAAAAGTTCAACAACATATACAATTAGAGAAATGATTCTTGAATAGTACATTTGCTGTATTTGTACCATCATCATCAACATGTTGTAATTATGATTACGCTCTCCATTCCTCGGGAGAACACTTCTAAATTTGGGTCGTTTTGACGGATACTGCACTTCCATTTCTCTCTTAGCCACCTTTTCTGTTCCTACTCTATTTAATCCTTTCGTATAATGATGATGATCTGATTTTCGTCTTATTTATTCGTCTCTTGTTCTTCCGCTCTTCTATATTATACCATTTGAAGAGGATGTTGTTGATGATGATGATAGAAGATAAGAGATGATATGATTTGATCAACTTTACTGATAGGTTAAATTAGTTTTAAACATTTCCGCATTTTCGTATATTGTCAAATTTTTCGTGACATTGATTTATTCTCTTTTCTCTTCGTCATCCATTTTATGCATATTTTATTGTTGAAAAAAAGATCAGACTTCAATTCTTCTTAATCCATCTTGCTGCTTTTTAACTGTAAATTTGTGATGAGTGACAGTGATAAATTTCTACGAAACAATGATAAAACAATTAATAATGTTCGAAGTTATCGTTATCTCATTATTTCTCTTTTTACTGTAAATACTAAGCATATCTAAAAAGGAAAAAAAAAAAACATAGAATACTTAAAATAATACGGTGATTTATTGATATAAGGATTGTCAATAATTGTCATCTCTAATTATGTCCGTAAAAGATGGATGGATGAAAATTACTTCAAGGAAAATTTACAATGAGTTTGCAATTACTTTCCTTTCTCACTTTATATTTTTGAATTTTAATTTAATTGAAAATATTCTATCTTTCAAACATAACAACAATATCAAACCATAACAAATAAATTAAATCAAAGTGATATACTTCATAATCAACAATGATGTTGGAAAAAAAAAGTGAAAAAAACAATTTTCACTAAAAGTAGGAAAATTGAACTTTTGTGGGTTTGCTATTTTCTTTTTTTTTTTTTTCTTCTGTTGACAGATTGGCGTATTTCAGTTAGTCTGTAAATTACTCAGCGCAAAAGCATCTTAGACTAATACCACCTTCATTTTTCCCTGCATTCAACTATAGAAAGCATTGCCTAATAACAACATTCATTTTCACCATACCACATTATCATCATCAACTACAGATGACGACAGTGACAACAAGAAGATGTAATGACAGCAATGGTATCAACGAGACCCTTCAGAAATAACACTTTTCTGATCACATATGTATTCGTTCCCTTTAATATTTTTGTTCTCGTTTTTTTTTTCTCGACCTTTTTTTTGAATAAATCAATCAAATTTGCTCGATTTGATTATATGAATATTTAAAAGATAACATCACTGATATCATATCATTCAAACTTGCTTGCAGTTATTCCATCAGATGATCTATAACATTTAATTAATGGAACAATATTTGATATCTCTGGAAATGATTTCATGCTTGGATTAATTTAAATTTGAATTTTCCAAATTTGAATTTTAATTCGGGTCCCTTTTTCATTCACACATACACACATGTTGTAAACATTTAAATTTAATTCATTTATTTTGTTGAACTGATACTTCGAATATGTTTGAAAAACGAATAATTTGTTTTATTTGACCTTTTTAATGATGTCAATTCACTTGACCGAAATAGTCTTTTCATTAATAACTTTTTTTTTTTTTGTCGATGTACTTCAATCATCATTTTGCATACAAAAGAATTTATAGGCAAAAAAATTTTTTTTTTTCTCGCTCATGCCTTCTTGTATATCACGCAAAATATTGAATTGAGAAATGAAATTCGATTCTTTAAACTATAAAATTATTTAACTCAAAAAAGAATATCATCGAAATTGATGCAAAAAAAATATGTGAATTCATTTGTTCCTTATCAATATTTTAGTGAAATTATCGGTTTACCAGATCGATCGAAGATCACTAATTTTGATAGGTGCTAATTAGACTACCGCCCTTATTACTTAATTAATAAAACTCAACAAGTGCAAATACTTCATGACACATGAAGACAATTACTTTTTTCGTAATCACTAACAATCACTTTGTCATGTCAAATTGTAATCTCCATGCATCATAATGTGATATGATTGATATGATTTGAGATTAGCCTAACAATCGACACTTATATTAAACCTTATAAAATCTATTTAAAAGTTTAATTGATCAATTTAAATATAATAGCACGAATATATCACGGATTCGAAATTTGAACACTTACATTCTATTGCATGATTAAAGTTTGATAAGCATGATAAGCGCTGACAACATAATCATTAGATAGATTATTTACATATGATTGGTGGATATAGATGTGATTAACTGGTAAAAGGCTATTTTCAAGTTATGTTTGATGCTTTTTCATATGTTACTATCAGAAGGTTTATCATTCTCGGGAATGTTAACATTTCAACTTTCTTGGCAAATTAAAAGTGGAGAAATCTCTATCTTCCATTTCTATCTATTTGTTACTGTTAACAAGGCTTTTATCACCACTCATAAAATATCCGTGTTCCCTTAGACTAACAGGTATTTCAGGTCTTAGATCTTGATAAATCATAGTTCGATTACGACTCGAGAATCGATAAATATCATTCAATTAAGCAAAGATGTAAAAAAGAAGAGAGTGAAAATAAAAAACTAAAAGTAAAAAGAATATTGGGGTAATAAAACTAGCAAGATTAGTATGTTTTTTGCTCAAGAAAGTTTTGAAAAATTTTTTTTTCAAACCAAATTGTGTTTTTTATGAAAATTTTAAGAAATCTTGAAGAAAAAGTCCATTTGCTTGTCTATGTATCAATGGTTTATTTCTATCTTCATTTATTGGTGATACTATCTTGATTAGCAATCAAACTTTTATACAAATTCGAAAATTCTTCCAACAATATCATTTTGTATTTCAAAGTTATTACTAATGAAAAATAAAAAGAGAATTGATTGAAATTATGCTTTTACGGATTTCATTTTGTCAACTATTTGTCATTAATTGATAAAATGAAAGAAAAAATGATACCCATAGCTAGTAAATTTAATTAATGATCCCAGAAATGGTTTGTTAAATTGACATATGTGTAAAACTAGCATTCAGCTTTAATGATAAATTAGATTTACCCGGATCAATTTTTGATTGTCTAACAAGAAATTGTTTTTTTTTTTTTTTTTATTAGTTCTTTTTATCAAACTTAAACTGCTATACGCATATATGGGATGATAATCAATAACTCATTCCGATCTTTCACAATTTATAACAAGAAGAAATTGTATGTAGCAATTAAATAAATCCAATTTTTAGAGTGTTTCTTGATAGTAGTGGATGGGTGAGACAGAAGAGCGGGTGCGGAAAAGCACACCTCCACCTCCATATAGCCCCGAAAGGCCACCACCACCCTATTCGACGATGATTAATGTAAGACTGGATGATATAAATATAAATGAAACGAAGGAAAAAGATGAAAATGTACCTCATCTACCGTGTACACCGTTTTCCACTGGATCTATCACATCTACTGTTCATCCACGATTGATTTCAGCTCCAACAACCCTTATTAGCACTTCAGAAGGTATCAATCCGTCTTCCGGTAAGTTAATTCAAACTATGAAAATTTCAGTGAATAGCATAGAAAATTATTCATTTTTCAATTTAAAATTTTAATGATATTCTTTTTTGGTGGGTGAAATTCTTATCACTTTTTCTGTTTTGAATTATTTTGAATTCCAAACAAGGTGAACTATACTACACTAACTAATCAAATCTCTGTTTAGGATTTTGCAAAATTATATAATATATAATTAGTTTAGACGAATTTAAACCGAATTCAGGCTGTAGCACTGGTTACTGCTTGATCAATTTTAACTGTAGTGCCGGTTGCTGCTTGATCAATTTTAACTGTAGTACCGGTTACTGCT